AAAAATGAGTTAATACAATGAAGGAGATTAATTTAATCACCAGAAACTCAAAATATTATGTTATCTGAACTACATAAATTATCTAAGTTGATTTGACAAAAAGACAAAATGTTGTGATTACAAATCATGAATATATATATATATATATATATATATATATATATTTTTAAATCAAATACATAATTGTCTTCTAAAAATGTTATTTATTCCTGTGATGGTTAAGCTGAATTTTCATTATCATTCCTCCAGTCTTCAGCGTCACTTGATCCTCTAATTATTTGATGCTCAATAAACATGTTTATTATTGTGATCTCTTATTATTTAACTATTATTATTGAAAACAGTTGTGCTCCATAATATTTTTGTAGAAACCATGATAATTTTTTTCCGGATTCTTCGATAAAGAAAGTTAAAAAGAATTAAGAAAAAAATCGAAATCTTTTATAACATTATACAGTATACTGTCTTAAGGTGTGGGGTGGGGGTAGGGTACACGCGATCCTAGGGCGTCATCTAACTGACGCTAAAGGGCGCCTAAAGCGTCAGATATTGAAGCATGTCCAAATGCTTCCCAAGGCGTCAGTTAGGTGACGCCTTGGGAGTGAGAATGGGCTGTGCGTTTTGCATCAACAAAATAAAATTTTAAATATAGCTGCGAGCAGCGATTGCGGGCCCAAGCCGGTGGCACCGCAACCCCGATGCCTTTAGTTACCCAAAGGCACCGGGATGGTGGTACCGCCGGCTTTGGCCCTTTATCGCTGCTCACAGCTATATTTATATTTAATATAAAGCCGGTGGCACCGCCACCTTGGTGCCTTTAGGGTTATTCTGTACGACGTGTAAAAACGTAACCCCCGCTTTGACTATCAAAAAGAAGTGTATTGTAGAGCTTGCATCAATGCGGACTCGATGCGCTGTGCGCTGTAACTCCATGTGGCTTTAAGCGCATCATTCTCCACTCGGGATGCGCATAAGCGTTTTGTGCCACACTGTACTGAGCCTTTCATATCATAATGCAGTGACGCAATGACAGATTATTAATTGCCTTTCTTGTTCTGTTCCATCTATTATATGTTGATAATAGATAGGACAGAGCACTAAAAACCTCAAACAAAGCACTAAAAACTTAAGCTGTTTGCTGTGTAGTCTGAGAATGAGCTGTTTGATTTGCACCCTCTTCCTCTTCACTGTCCTCCATAAAAACCAGCTATCCAGGTCCATGTTGTTCTAGAAAGTTTGTATGTTGCTGCCTCAATTAACATCTCTGCTATACATTTAAAACATGGCTATATCTAAAATAATTTATCTTTTTGATTTTTGTTATCTTGTTTTTCATGAATATTTTACAACAATACAAAGAGCAATGTGTATTTTCCAATAATATAGTTTGTAATGGCTTTTTTTGTCATAGATTATAATCATATATTTTTTGGATTTGTTATTTATCTTTATAATGAAGTTGTCTGTATTAAGTAGATTGTGTTTAACACACACAAGAGTGATTTATTAGTTCAACACATAGTTATAGAAATTCTACTTTATCTAAAAAAAACCCTGCACTTTATACACACACACACACACACACACATAAATACATGTAAATAAAAATACCAAAAAAAAAAACATCAAATGTGTTTTTAGTCAGAGTATTATTTTATACAGAAACAAATATTTGTAATTCAGATAAGAATGAAGTTAGTGTTTTAAAATCTTAAGGAAAACAAATATATTGAAATATAGCTCATGAATTTTAAATTCATTCAACTTCAATTACAAATACAATCTTACTTTTATTTAAAGCAATCTATACATTTAAAAGATGGGGGTTATATGCCTATTTTGTCATTTAAAAATATTGTTATGCAAAATTGTTATGCAAAAAGACAAGGACTTAGAGACAAGGACTTGTAGGAAAAATCACAGCCAGCCACACACACACACACACATAAACACAGACAACAGCCCTCCCCTCCCCACACAGACACACACACCCACACACACACACAGAGAGAGAGAGAGAGAGAGAGAGAGAGAGAGAGAGAGAGAGAGAGAGAGAGAATCGCAGGGGAATTAAATCCATTCAAACTACAATATCTGACTTTCTGTTGCTCAGAGCGAATGACTTTAAATTGGAAAGTTGATCGGCTTGACGAGAACAATATACGTGGCAAGTTTTGTAACTGTAGGTAAAATGAGCAAAGTTATAACACACTTTATGTGTCCTTTTTTAGTCATAAAATTCATTTCCTCGCCACGGCCAGACCGTTCGAGATATCAAAAATCCGTCCGGAATTGAGCATCCTCAATGTCTTGACTTCATGCACACCGAGTTTGGTTGTGATTGGTAAACACATGCGTTGTAATTTGATGTATTTGTCCTAGGACAATTATTCAAACAACCCATAATTCATAATTCATAAATAACTTCCATTTGAACTGTAATAAAACTTAGAGCACGAAAGTTGTTTGGCCTGATGTGATCTATAATTGTACCGAGTTTCATATTAATTCATGCAAGTGTGTTTGATTTATGGACAAATGTTCGAATCCCAGTCCAGGGGGCGCTGTCGAGCCACCCTGCCACGCCCGGTTACCAGCTTCAGCCCGGCCCTGATTGCCATGGGTTCTGACCCGTGTGCAAAGTTTCAAGAGTTTTCGAGGATGTTAAGGCCCCCGAAAATGAAGAATACTGAAGAAGAATAATAATCCCAAGGAAAACAATAGGGCCTTCGCCCTTTCAGGGCTTGGGCCCTAAAAATTGCGAAATTCATCATCTTTAAAATTAAATAAAAGGATTAAATATAAGATTAAATATACACCAATGTCTCTATTACTTGTTATACTTACACTCCCATTCAAAAGTTTGGGGTGGAAAAGAGTTTTTAATGTTTTTGAAATAAGTCTATTATACTCACCAAGGATGCTTTTATTGGATCAATAAATAATACAGTTAAATATTATTACAATTAAAAAAAAATCTATTTGAATATATTTTAAAATGTAATTTATTCCTGTGATGCAAAGCTGAATTTCAGCATTATTACGATGATTTGATGCTCTAGAAACATGTATTACAATTATCAACGTTGAAAGAACAAGCACTTAATAGCCTATTCTTGTGGAAACATGTGATATTTTATTTTTGACAGAATTCTTTGATTAATAGAAACAGCATTTACTTGAAATGAAAATATTTTGTAACAGTGAAAGCCTTTAGCCTATTGTCACCTTTGCTTTCATCAATTTAACGCATCCTTGCAGAATAAAACTTTTTTTTCTGGATGAACGGTATACAGTAGCCTATCTACTGTAGGAATTAACATGTACAATGTATTTTTTTTTTCCTAAAACAACTTACTCAAATAAAAAATGGTAAAAGGTCTAATATAAAAATGAATAATATAAGCTTAATACGCTAATAAATGCAAAAGCACATTCCACTCAAGCCAGATCCTGTTATTAGCTATAGCCTATAGAACGCATCTGGCATATTAAATATTCATTATTAGCAATGCAATACAGATCCAGAACGGTGCAATCTATCACTTTAAAATGAACATGAGAGTGATGTGATCACAGCTGACCAATGAAAAAGCAGAAGCTCGCAGTGTTTAGTCATCTTGCTATTAGAGGGCCGGATGGTCACATCTGTGAGTGTGACTCACTCAGACGCCAATACTCTGATGGATCGCCGGAAATGACGCTAATGCATTTACTCTTTTATTTTCATGTTGTTTACTCCAAACCAAAGGCAGGTTTGAGAGGCCATCCATTAGGCTACGTTAAATATTTTTTTTGCAACGTTTGGATATTCCTAGCTTCCAAAGTGCAGCTCAGATCGGTGAAGCGAAAGCAAACGGTTTAATCATTGTTTAAAAAGGCCTGCCGAACCTGAAGCAGCGGTGTGTGTTATAATGCGGATAATAAACTTAGGACGCAGGGGTTGCGTGTTTAAAGCATGGAGTGTCTCCATGAATCAATATGGCTGAACTGGCCCATCTCAGTTTCCATGACAACGGCCTGACGTCCCCTAAGGGCTGCAGTGGGGGTGAGCTCTCTCTCTCTCTCTCTCTTGCGGGACAGAGAACAGCAGCATGGCACAATAACCTACTTCACTCACCGGGACGGGGAAGCACATGGATATTTCTGTGCTTTTGATGTAATTATGGTTTGAAAGTAATAAAATGAAAGGATTCGATCTACTTTTTGCACCATATTCAGTGGAATGGAGCCTTATGCATACAGCCTGTACTGACAACCGGCAAATAATAATTAACTATGATTATTATATTGTATTATATAAATTATTAGTGGTATTTAATGTATATATTAATATAATGTTATTAATGTCATATTATTCACATTGAACAATGAAATTCATTTTTTTTTAATTATTAATGTTGGTATTTTGGGCAGGTAGCTAATGCATTGGCATAATTTAAATATGTAAATATATATATATTATAATATGTATTATTATTATAAGTATAATATTTAAATCTATATGTGTTAAAAATAAATATAAAATAAAATATTATATCAAAATTAAAAATAAATTAAATATGTGTAAATATTTAAAAAACGATTTAAATATGCATTTTTTTTCTTTATTTTCTTCATTTATTTTAGAATTTTTGCCAAAAAATATTTTCAATTAATTGAACAGTGTGATTCCAAAACAAACTAAGCTGGTAGTTCCTATGCAAAGACAAAATGCTAATTCCTATGCTAATAAAACAAACAAACAAATAAAATTAAAAATCATTTTGTCACTTTGCTGCCCTAAAATCTGTGCTCTGAATGGCCCATGTTCACATTCTGAGTGTGATAACATGACATTCAATGGTAAAACAAAAAAAAGAAGCCTTGATCAAGCTTCACTATCACTTCACTATCCATCAGGAAACACCCACAAACCTCACCTCGAGGTTCCCCCAAAACCCCGGAATAAGCGGCAGAAAAGCTCAACCACAGCTGTCACACACCCCTAATACACTTACCAACATGAGTGAGGACACACTCCACCCTCTGCTGAAGCTCCAGTAGAGACATCTCCTCTTCCTCCTCCAGCCTGCAGAGCATCTCAGGGTGTGAATCTCTCCTCTCCTCTCCTCTCCTCTCCTCTCTCACAAAGCCAGCGGCCACTCCCAGCCCTTGATGGAGATCTCCGATGGAAGACACCGGAGAGATGAATCCGGCTCTTTTATTCTAGTGTGGAGTCGCAGGGGGGCTTTGGTGATGTCAATCCTTCATTCTGAATCTCTGCGCCGGAGTGATGCTGGCTGGACTCTTCAAAGCAGCTCCATGGCTTCTATCCTGAAGACTGTGTGTCGGGAACCAGGAAGAGAATCAGAGGGAGGCTATACCTGCTTTCAGAGAGACACGGAGATCCTCTCACACAAAACCTGGAACAATGGATTCAGTGGAGTGGAGCCGTATGCATGCAGCCTCTACTATCAGAGTCAAACAGCACCCCTTATAAAATGCTTTAGTGATTAAAAAAATTAAATTATAATATAACTTATGTATATATTCATAAATGTATTATTCATGAATGCATGACATAAAAATGTGTTGTTATTATTATTACAGACTTTTTAATATATTATTCTACATTATATTACAGTATATTACATTATATTCATTTTCATATTTAACTTCTATACTTAACTTATATATTAAAAGAACATATTTATAGATGCATAAAATAAAATGTATTATTGTTATTACTACTACTACATGCAGCATGTCAAACACAGCATTTCTTGTAAAATGTTTTAAAAAAATGTATTATATATCATTACTGTTTGTATTTACCTTATTTATATATTAATAAACCACATTTTTCATAAATGCATACAATTAATATTATTATTTCTATTAACATTACGAGTATCAGTAACATGTAAAACTAAAATTAATCTACATTATCTTAGGCTATATTATATTATTGAGGTATTAATGGAATACATTAATAACTGAGTAAAGTAATATGTAGCATGTAATTATCATACTGAATTTTATAATTGATTTGCATTCAAGTTTAAATAGTATTTTTGTTGCACTGGGACGGTAATAGGTAGTAATTGTAAATATTGGACTTCTAAACGCTTCTGTATAAATCTGCATCACACAAATGAATTCAATAATTATTATAACTATTATTTTAAAACATAATTAAACGGAATGTCATAAATTCCATATATCAAACCATATCTAAACATCATAAATAGCATTCTGTACTCGTTGAATTATATTCCTTTATTCATTTCATTTCCCCATTTTTATTTACTTACATTTTGTGGAGGAGCTGCATCTACATGTCTGAGCGTGACTCTTTTCCACATTTTGATGTGAGCTGAAGGGCTGTTATCATCTTACTTGATATTGCCCTTGGGAGCCAGATCCTCTCCTTGGAAACGCGCAGTAATGGGACGCCATCTGTGCTCGTGCCGTAACATGTAAACTTATTGTACATGTTTTACTCAAAATATTTGGTATATTTATTGATACCAAAATAAATACATAAAACAAGACTCTTGGAAATGGGAAGGGTAGCTACAATAAATGTCCAGATAACTGCATAGAGAGCATGCAATAGCCTAATTTAGAGCATAATAACTATTGAACTACTGCTGTTTGACCGGCAGATGGCGCTGCTGGTACAGTAACAAACCACAGCAATGCATGAAACTTGAACTGTGGCGCCTCCAGCTGGACACACGAGTACTGTGACATTCATGTAACAAACATCTACATTTTGTGCAAAAAATATTTTTAAGCAATTAATATCGATGTGGCCGATCGACTCTAATCCTGGCTCTCTAAGCCCTGTCAGGGAAACCCTTGATTTAGTTTAAGATCTGATATTTCTACACAATGAATGCTCTTTTGCAGCGTTATGAATTTATACCATACCAATTGGAGTACCATGAAATTAGCCAGGTTGAGACGAGAGATAAACAGGAAGCTTCATTGTCCGGTTTTGCAAACATAATGAATAAAAAAAAAAAAAAACACTCTCTCTGCAGATCTAATGCACAGAAAAGAGCTGCATTGCATTTCACATAAAAAATATTAATGCCTTAAAATAGCTTGAATGTCACCCATCCCCTTGCCTCATTTATGCTGTTCTATGAATATGCTAATTATTCCCGCCCCCTCACTCACACCAGCTTAAAGGGATAGTACTCACCCTCATGTTACCATCCCGTAAGACCTTCGTTCATCTTCAGAACACGAATTAAGATATTTTTTTTGATAAAATCCGAGAGCTCGATCACCCCTCCATAGTCCATAGGCTTCTTGAGGGATTGGAACTTGCCGGCATTGGAAAGTTATTAAAGACATCGTTAAAATAGTTAAGTGACTACAGTGGCTCAATCTTAGGTTTATCAAATGACGAGAAAACTTTTTGTGCGCAAAAACCCCCCCAAAATAACAACTTTATTTCAACTATTAATTTACTTCTCTATAGGCCTCGCCCTCGAGTCAGGTTACTATAGTTTAAAGGGGAAATGAAGCGGTGAATCAAGTTTACATGATTTACAAGATGGATTTCCAATATAATCAACAATTATATAAGAAACATTACAAATGTAAACATTTAGAAGAAAAAAAGAAAAAACTTTGTATCTTTCGCCGCCAGGGCGCCGCCATTGTGCAGTTGACGTCACGGGGTTGGTTGGCTCAAGTTTAACAGGCTCTGGGCATTGAAAATCGCAACATCAAACTGTGTTTACACCAGTGTTTTGACCGCAAACGACTAATGTTAGGTACAGTTATTAGATAAAAAGACTACGTCTCATGTTATATGTTGACAAACTGCACATAGAAACATTGTTCGCGATGTCTGCCGTCAGATATTCCCGTCTCGTCAACAACATGTAAGTTACGTTGCTGTGTAGAACAGTCAGTGGTGGTTTGGGGCGGAGAGCGGGTTTGCAACGCTAACTTACCAGGTGTCAGTGTGGCTGTTGTCCTGCGATGCCCTCCGTGTCAGTCCATCTGTTGTCAAGAGGTTCATCTTGAGCATGTACTGCGTGGTCAATTCTGCATCACCGGCGCGCACGTTTACCATGCTGTGCCGGGGAGTTAGACGTGTGGAAGCGGCGAAAGATACAAAGTTTTTTTCTTTTTTTCTTCTAAATGTTTACATTTGTAATGTTTCTTATATAATTGTTGATTATATTGGAAATCCATCTTGTAAATCATGTAAACTTGATTCACCGCTTCATTTCCCCTTTAACAGCGTATGATCTGTTGTTGTACGTCACACGCATCACACACATGACTAGCGTCAGCTAATAGTGAGCCTACGTGTGACGTAGCTCTACGCAATTACAATAGTTTAACTGACTGGCCCAAAGAGAAGGAAATGAATAGTTGAGATAAAGTCGTTATTTTTGTTTGTTTTTGCGCACAAAAAGTATTCTTGTCGCTTGATAAAGTTAAGATTGAGCCACTGTAGTCACTCAGACTATTTTAACAATGTCTTTAATAACTTTTCAAAGGCGGCAAGTTTCAATCCCTCAAGAAGCCTATGAACTAGAATGCAGGAGTGATCCAGCTCTCATTTTTCATCAAAAATATCTTAATTCATGTTCCGAAGATGAACGAAGGTCTTACACGGTTGGAACAACATGAGGGTGTGTAAATACTGACAGAATTTTCATTTTTGGGCGAACTATCCCTTTAAAGATCCACATCCACTTGTTGATGATCACACGTTGAGGTGATTGGTTACAAGGTAGTTTGTGATTCTAGAAACAGCAATTGTGTTGACTTATGATATGAATTTGAATTTGCACATGGTTTGTCTTAAAGCATATTAAAAACATTACATCTAACATCAGCTAACTTGCTATTGCTAGCCTCTGAAAATCCCCTAACCTACCTTAATACGTGTGTTCGACTTCATGTGTAGCAACTCGAAACTTGCTGTTTAAGCACTAGCTTCCTAGCAAGTTTTATCATAGCTACTTTATCATGTTGATGTCTAGCATTATTTTGCTAGCATATTCATGGTTTAGCATGTTGCTAGCATGAATTAGCATGTTACTAACATGTCTCACCAATTACTAGAATGTTTTTAGCATATTGATAGCATGTTTTAACACATTGCTAACATGTTTTAACATGCGGGTAGCATAAATGAGACATCCCACCTCTACCGGAAGTTCCAGGAGCCTCCCGCATAAAATCCCTGATGCTCGTATGCTAACATAAACTAAGCTAGATGCTAGGCTTTAGAGTGATTATTTTAAAGTTTTGACCACCTCAATGCAAGTCTATGATTGTCCATTTAATGTAGGACATACTGACTAAATTGTGTCTTAGAAGAAGCAGCTTAAATATAGAATTTCAGTAAGTTAGCTTGTCATGTCAACATAAACCATTACAAAACACACTTAGTGTCAGTTTATTTGCAGTTACATTTATTCTGATGAAAATGTCTCACAGTTGTAACGATATATGTTCATTTGAATGAATAATTTAACAAACAACAGTGGCTGTTTTCAGAAAGAAATGCTTATTTTACAGTAAAAACAACAGAACTTTGTACTGCTGACATGTGCATGACATATATGTGCGTGTCGTAGTTTCGTCAACCAACCTCAAAAATGGCAAAACATTGTAATAACACTGACAGTAACATGAAAACATTCATTTCTTCCCACTCTATACATATTTAAATCTATCCACACATTAAATAACTTTTGTTATTTAAAATTATACACATTGACAAAATACAGAATCACATGTAGATGTGCTGATGATTAATGATAGATTCGTCTCTGGTTTGTACAAAGGAATATTATTGCATTTCTTGTAGGATTTTTGTATTATCGGCAGTAATAGTATAATTCATTCGTTCGTTCGAGCGATGAGGTCTCTTTTCTCGGTTTGTAAATGAGTCTTGTAGAGGAGACAGATGCCTTGTCACTCAGAAACATTGTGGAACAACACTATACAGTTATATTATTATTTGCAACGTTTTAACAAAATATATGTTTACTATTATTTGCATGTTTGAGTACAACACAAAATGAGAACGCTTCAAAAATCAAATAAAAAACAGTCAGAACAACCAGTGAATTTATGAATATGGATGTGTTTCATATCAAGACGTTCGAGAGAAAATGTTAAAACGAGCACAGGGCACTCGGACTGTACGTTTGTGTTTTTAGGGAAATATTACAATAAAATTCACAAAATGGGAAAACTTCATAAAAGTACTTTAAAAAAATATTGGTCACTGTTCGTAAGTAGCAAATGTTAACATCAAGTATCTTATTTAGTGGTGTGGAGAACATTTTGACGTAATTGCACAGACATTGAAAAAGCTGACAGAACTCATTTTGCATCTTCCGTCAGAAATTGCTTCTTCCTATTATGATATTTTAACTATGCCCACAAATGAATATTTATCATTAATGCATAATAAAAAGAGAATGAATTGTATACAATAAACATCTTCAGGCTATAAGACAAGGAATTTCAATAGGAACTACAGTCAAAAAAAAAAAATATTAAACATACAAAATACACTCTACCTGGTTGAAAACAAAAGTAACCTTTAGGTGGACCGTTAAACACAACCCAACAATCCTCCTTGTGGGCGGCACCCCACCTTCCCTCTCCCCTCCCCTCTCCCCACCTAAAAAATATGTAAATATAACAAGGTGCCTTAGCACGTACTGGCACACACAGACCTACAGAACAGAAGCATATAGTGATGCTTGTAGAGTGGCACGATACTGTGTTTTGAAATACAAGAACTCACAAACTCGTCTCTCTATCCAAATCTTTCTCCGTCTCTTCATCACCTCGCTTACGTCCAATAGCCCCCACAACTTTTGAGCTGAAGAATAATAGAGAAAGATTTACATCACCATGAGAAGAAAAAAATGTACAGTTGAAAAGCTCACGAGAAACAGTGAGTCACGAGTTTGTTCTTGGAGCAAAAGAATACGTACAGATCCCTTTTGAAGTGGAAGTCAACACTGAATCTTGGATTGGCGCTACAATGAACGCAATCAGTGTGACCGGTGTATGAAACACGTGTGTACACTCCAAGCGGCAACCTTCCGGTCTCTCTCTTGAATCCAACACAGAAGTGAATTTAACTGCTGACTAAAATTCACCGACTGGCAGCTAGAGACGGGCTCCAAAAGATAGTCAATCCCTAGACCCCCATGTTAATATGCCCAAAAATGTTTACAGACTGGTGAAAAAAAAGTGGTTTCTGTGATCGCCGGAGCGCCCGTGTGTATAAGAAGGTGCCTGCAGATGATAAATCATAAATCAGATGTAGCCATGTACAATAACATACCGATGTCAGCCATCGATTTAAATAGTATATTGTGTTTAATATTTAACTTGTCGTTTAATGAAATCTACGTTTAATGGATCCGACAATAACACGCATGTAGTTCGATGGTCCAGTGGCAGAACTTTTGCCAAGCGTGTCAGAGGTTCTGGGATCTAATCCGTACTCGTATAGTTTTTTTTTCCCCTCATTAAAGGTACAATATGCAAGATTGTTTCGCCACCGGGGGTCGCTAACCTCTTACAATAACAAAGGCGTATATTTATGACGTATATTCTGCATTAAGCGGAATTATGGATCTTGTCGTCAAGCTGATGGATCTTTTATGGATGAGTGAATACATTGATGTTTTTAACATGAGTGTAATAAGAAGCAAGGCGCGATTGCAGACGTATACCAGCGCCTCACGCAACACGAGTACCGCGGATATAAAGGAATAAGTACATTTCATTCTACCGAACTACACGCAAGTGCTGAATTAATATTCACACAGGTCAGTTTATTAGACAAGTTAAACTTGAGGTAACGCAGTGCTGCTTTACTTGCACTAACAGTTTCATATCACACTAAATGGCATTTGAATGTGTTGAATGTTGTTGGTTAGGTTGTTTGTTGGCTGAATGAGACTAAGCTAGATTAACATTAGAGAATACCATACAGATCATATTCTAACTTTTCATCATGTAGAACTATATAGCATTGATTAGTTTTATATTTGCTTACCTGTTTGCTCAAGTAACATGTCGAAGTCGAAGATGCTTTCGGCATCTCGAAAGATGTTGATCTTCGTTTTAGTCCTGTTTTTGTCTCAAAGTCTACTTGCTATGGTCCATAATGTTTGAACAAAACCCCGATGCTCACGCTGTTGAGCACGCATAACGGGAATAACCGACCCAGTTGTCGATGTCTGTCGCCATGGTTACTATCACGTACGAGGTCAAACCTAGCGGAAACAGGTCCGGGGGTAACGCGGATATGACGCCATTGACTGGCGACTCCTCACCCCTGCTCACACGCCCCGTTTCCATGGTTAAAATCGCAATTTTCTCACGACTTACAAATAGTTAGAAACATTTGGAATATTGTAAGTAATCAACTAAACAAAATATATAACATTGGCTTAGTGGTTTTGGGATATATTACTGCAAAAATCCTGCATATTGTACCTTTAAAACCAATTATGTTTATCAGTGGTTGTATATCAGCAGAGACACGTTTGTGTGCATTTTACTTTGTGATTTCACAGGAACAAGTCTCCGCAACGGATTAAAGGGCGTGTTCGTGTGAAGACTGTGTGCGACGCAGCGTGAGCCACAGAGAACCCTGTATCCGCGCCACTGATCGCAGTTAACGAGCACTTTGATCACTTGGTTTCAAAAGCAACACATTTCTCATTTCACATTTCAAAAGCAACACATTTAACAGCAATCTTATTTAACAAACGAACGAAATGAATGCTCTTCTAGTTAACTAGAGATGTTTTATTTATTTGTATTAGTTACATTCGTGCCGCGAGATGTTTCAAAAGTGGTGGGGACAATATCGACCCTGACTGAAAGTGGTGGGGACATGCCCCACCAGTCCCACCCACAAATTACGCCTATGCCTGCCTGCATGTCTCCCTCAGATAAAGTTGATGAAGTACATTGCAAGTACCGTCTTTATACTGACAGGTGCTTTCAGGACAAAATAAGTCATCGACCAATGAAATTGTTGTGTGTACACACGTGCTTCAGACATCCTGATAAAGACACAGTGACTCAATCCCCATTTCAGGCAACCAAAGGTTACCTTCATAACCTAAGACGTTTTATGCGAGTGTCTTTGAGTGTTATTTTTTATACTATTATAGACTTATTAATATTTTGAATCAGATTTTATGATTATATTTTCCATTTTAAATTAAAAAAAAAGTGTAGTTTTTAAAAAATGTATTTCCATTTTAGTCGGGTTTTTTATAAAAAATAAAAATGCAAAATTTTGAAACTCGTAATGGAGTGTGCGTAACTATAATCGCTCTGAACATCCCACATAGGTTTGATTTATAAATAATATTGTATGTACAGAATTTACTGAGAAACATTACAGAGTTCTACTAGGGACTGAATATTCAGATTCACACAGGACAGAATGAAACAGAGGTCAAATTAAATATCAGACTTAAAAAACAAAAACAGAGCGTTAAATACATTTTGTTAACTGTATGCGTTAACTTTGACAGTCATTATTTTAATGACTATCTGATCCCAGTGAGTTGACCTGTCTGAAATCATGCTTTTCCATGCATTTAACATTCTCAACAAATACACACAAACATGCACACAAAGGCTAAAATGCCCAGGAAAAAAAATAGCTTGAATCCCTCATGATGCCCGTGTTTTTAGAAAGATGCCCTTTGTAAAACCTGGAATTATTGAGTTATCATTATTACACGGCTCTGTGGAATACTTGATTCTGATTGGTCAATAGCGCCATCCAGTGGTAAATTAATCCCAGATTGTAACCCCTCAAAACAGATAACGCAGGCTCATCCTATGGAGCGAATTATATGCCATAATTAAACAAACAAATCCAGCATTTTGCAAACAAACTCGATCTGATTTGCAAAGGAATACTCGACTCGCAAACAAACAAAGCAATGTGCAAAAGTCAAAAAGTCAATTTGAGCGAAAATGCAGTGGAGTAACCAATATTGTGTTTTAGTGCAAATCTACAAATCTAGAGCATAGCAAATGCATATCTGTCTGTTACAATCTCTCGCTAAATGAATCCCCTATTTTAGCGCCATCTGTTGTTTTAGAAAAGGAAGTTACTCATCTGCATTTGTGAGAAAATCTGCCTGGTCACATTGGTGAGAAAATGGAGCCAAGAGATCTCACAATCATAACAGTATGCACTAGATTTGGTATTTGTTCAAAGGTAATGCAATTTGTAGGATGGTTTGTATTTATTTGTGAAATAATTATCTAGGCTAATTTATTTGAAAAACACCATATTGGTTACTCCACTGCATTTTCGCTCAAATTGACTTTTGTTTTGGCACATTTCTTTCTATTTGTTTGCGAGTTGAGTTTTCATAGAGTTTGTTTGCGAACAATTTTTGTGTGTAATTTGTGTGTAATTATGGCACATAAATCGCTCCATATCATCCGGGTTACTAAAGTCAATGGCGCTAGGAACATTTTTTCTTAGTGGAAGTTTTGTATTTGGTGAGCTAATAAAGTATTAAAACTCAGTCAAATCAATATTTTGAGTACAGTTATTTAATTATGCCATCCAATATCATGGACTCACTCTCTCTTTCATACAAACGCAGCTGCTGCCATTTTGTGACTATTGTCTTGTACACTGTTGGATTATAAGGTTATAAACAGGTACGAATTTAAAACAGTTTAATCTGAAATCAATATATCTTATCCCCATAATTATTTAAATGCTGTGTAATAAGTGGTATGACTGTATACTGTACTGCTTAAATGTCCGTGTAGTTTGAACTTTCCGCGCTAGCAACTTCTCTCCTCGGAAGCTTCGCTAGTTTTAAACACCTAAAAAAATATTTCAACTCAGATCTGTTCAATTATTTACTTATGTGGCAAGTACCCGTGTAATAAGCGGGATAATGTCCATCCAGCCAGTGGTTCTCTCAAAATAACCCCCTTCAGGCTGATTAAGACCAGCCTCCTCATCATCCTGTCGGGGGTTATTTTGAGAGAACCACTGGTTGGATGTACATTATCCCTTGCATAACCTCTAAAAAGGAAGACATAACTTTTTTCAGAAAAAGGAGAAAGGTTTGAACATTTAGGAAACATGAACCATCATACCCACAGCACTAGTGTATATACAGTGATCATGCACAGACGGGTTGGGTTGTGTCTTACCTTTGGAAATCAGCATCTGAGACATTAGGAGAGGGAGCTTATGAGTGACAGGGATGAAAAATTCAGTCATGATATGAGCCTGATATTCACACTTCCATTTTTAAGAGAACAGCATGTTTGAGGAGTTCACTGAAAAGATATATTGCTACAGTAGATTGCTAATTCCATTTTTTGGAGGGGCTCAGACATGACCAAACTCTGCTTTGAGAATGAAAATGTTTCTTATTCGATCTTTAACCGAGTTTTTAAAGGGGTCATGAACTGAGAAATCAAATTGTCCTTGATCTTTTCACACAAGAGGCCATTGTACTATTAAAAAACTTAAAACTTCCTCATTAGTCCAAAAACGTCCTCCGGTTACGACTGTAACCCTTGTTCCCTGAGAAGGGAACGAGAACTGCGTCCAAGTGACACTTTGGGGGAACGCCCCTCAGCGTAGCGTCTCTGAAGCATGAATGAAACTAAGCCAATCTCCGATTGGATCAACGTGATGACGTGATGTGTGACGACACATAGGCGGAAGCATATATAAGGAACCGTTACACACAACATGTCAGCTTCTGTGATGAAGCAAGCGCTCCCAGGCAGGGGAAGGTGTGGCCACGAGACACAGTTCTCGTTCCCTTCTCAGGGAACAAGGGTTACAGTCGT